AAAAATATCTTACTTTGTATACTTATTAAATACACAATATTTTGAATGGTTGAGTATGCACCGTTTAAAAATGTCTTTAATCCAATTTCAATCATCTTTTTCTCACAAGAATAGCTTGAATTTGAACTTTGACATTTGTGTATAAAAATACTAGAATGTCAATAGAAATAAAAGAAAAATCCTGTAATCCCATAAGCTTCAAGTCTGTATCGAAACTAAACAGTTTAAATTAAATATCCAATTTTGGAGTAGCCGCTGGTTCCTTCGAGATTTTACAATGGGTTTTTATTTTTTATTTATATGTAAAATAAAGCCTGTGGTGAACATAAGTTGACTATTTTGACGTTTTGTTCTACAACACACACCCATAGCGAAAACGCAATTTCTGTTCATTTTTGAAAACATACGTTTTTAATAAGTAATAAGACAGATTGGGGTGAGTGTGTGCGGTGTACATTCATTGTAGAGCAAAACGTCAAAGTATAGTCAAGTTATGCTTATCACAGACTTTATTTTACTCATAAATAAAAATAAAAACATAATAAAACCCTATAGGAAAATCTGGGAACCAGCGGCGAATTAGATTTCCGGGTTCGGACATCATCCCTGCACCACTCTATTTGACCAAATATTTATATCATCTCCTACTCATGGGCAAAATGCCATCCAACAAAGACTTCTCTATAATGTGAATATCCTATTCAAAATACCACCATGCAACAGCAATTGGCAAATATGCTTAATATCCTAAATAAACCATTTCTATATGTCCTGCCCCAATTTTCATTTTTCGGAAATACATTTGTTTGTGAAGTACATATAACATACAGGAAAACCCCCTAAGGGTGCCGACTATAAGAGCGTGATGTCCATACGAAGAGAGCATTAATCAGAGTAAAGCCATAATATACTGCAGGTCAAAGAGCCCTTCTGGGAGGGACATTTCCTATTTCGGCTTTTCCACTCATTTGCCTAGAAAGACCTACAACTGGGACCGGAGGCTTCACTCCACTCACAAACAAGAGCTTATTTAAAACATGGGCAGCAACAGCCAGAAAAATACTAGAAAAAAAAACAAAAAAACTGGGTGCCTCTAGGGAAATTCAGTTTAGGATCACCTTTGATCTCTTCTCTCAGTGTGCGGTGACAAATATCCATGTGTGCAATAGCAAATAACCTCTAAAATGTCTGTCTTCTAAAAACAGTCACCGTGATCTTGCTATTGACATCTTATACTGCACGATAGCATTGCAGCACTGAAGAGGCGCACAGACTGACAGGAACACATCTCAATCAGGTACATCCCTTCTTAGTCTCGTCGAAATTGTCTCTATACTGTTTGAAGTTGAGACATTAACCACACCCTTCCTTCGATTATGGCTACATAAAAACATGCATGCGTTTCTCCCATTTTGACGGTGCTGCTGGATCAATGTGTGCAAAGCTAGGCCGACAACTGACACAAAACAGCTGTCTGTTATTCCCCTAGATCCAAAGAAGTACATAAAAAAGCATCTTTGATAATAATATATCTGGAGGCGTTTTTTTAAGAAATACATATTTTTGTGCATCCTATTCTTTTAATTATTCTTCAAATGCTACAGCACAGTCTGTGCTTGCACTGTCTTTAGCTGAGATAAATGACCATTGCACTTTAGATCCATTTAACCATTTTCTAGATCAATTAATTGATTCAGGTTTGGCCGTGGATTTAAGTGAAACTCTAATTCTGCATACAGAGCAGTTTGCTGTGAATATGTTTAAAATCTAAATCTATACACATAAGTACCTACCTAATAATCTATAACTGTGAAATTGTAATGTGCAAATCTGTAAATAATCTATATTGCAAATAACCTCTACATGGAAGTATTTGATTTGAATCAGATTAACAAGTGCAACTGATCAGTCCTTGACACACTGAGGGACTCTTCCCATTACCGTATGAACTGGGCCGCCAACTAAGGTCTTTTTTCTCCAATACTGTCGCACCTAATGGAGTTTTGGTTCTTTGTCACTGTCGTCTTTGGCTTGCTCAGTTGGGGCTTAAAAGACAACTAATATTCAGAGAATGTTATTGATCTGACACTATCAGATGAGAAAGCAAAAACTAAACTGAATCGAGCTGGAAAATGACAATGTTGTATTCTGTAAGTCTTTTCATAACTGATGAACTTTGCAACATTGCCACTGTTATTGAACTGAAGTGATTCAACACTGAATCTGACTAGTGCAGTACTGCCCTCTGTAGATCTGCTTTGTTGTTTTTAAATGAAATTTGTTTGATAATTGATGAATTTTTGCAAACATTGACACTGTTACTGAAATGGAATTGAAACAACACTGAACTATATTGAGCTGAATATTGACACTATTGTCTTCAGTTGCTCTACAGCTGAAATTTATGTTGTTTCATAACTGATTCGTTTTGGAACTGTTATTTTATTATCTGTTTATGACCGTGACTCTGCTTTCAAAATCTGTTTGTATAAAGCACTATATAAATCAATGATCAGTACATGAGCTATTTTTAGAGCAGGAACAATTCTGTAGATACCCAGTAGTTGTGACAGGTATTAAAAATATCATAAGTAAGATACAACGGGGCTAAAGGCGCACCGGGGTAAAAGGCACCTTTGATTTTATTTTCCTCTAAACCACTAGATGGCTAGCCTGGGAAAACCCAGACAACTTCCGGCAAATTTAGATTTGCTCTGAAAGTTAGTCTGGCAAAGAGCTCATTCAAGCTCATTTCCAATCCACCGAAATCGCGGCACCAATCAGAAACGTTGGGGCGGGCTTTACACGATGACGACAGCGCTGGGATTTTGAAGCAGATTTTGTAGCCTAAATTACAAAGATGGATGCCGCCGTCGAACATCACTCGTTCGAATCAGCTATCGCGTCTGTTTTAAGCGATTTGAACGTTTCCTTTTTGTTAAAAACCGAGCAAAGAACAATCGGAGATGTTTCTCCACCGCTCTGCATACGTCATCTCCTTCATCGCTCTGATTGGTTTTAGGTCTATCCGCGACGTCCGTTGGTGACGCCCCTCTGGAAATGATTTGTCTATAACGCCTTGCCAGACCATAACTCAGTTACAACTGAGAATGGTCTGGTTTTAACCAGGCTACTAGATGGCACAAAAACTTGCCGCAGCACTTTCCAAAACATCCTTTTTAAGGATTACACATGGAAATTTGCCTGATCCTTGACACGATCAGCAGTGCAAAGTGCATTCTGTGCTAATTTGATCTAATATTTGATTGATGTTTTTTTTTTTACCATTTTGTAGCAATAGATTTAAGTAGCAAATGAGATTATTATTATAATTGAATATATTTTGAACGATTTTCAGTTTTGCTCAAGGAAACTGCAACGGTTTTTCAATAACGGAAAAATATGTAAAAAATATGATAGCCTATTTGGGGTAAAAGGCCCCCCTCGGGTGCGAAAGGCACAATAATTAACATGATAATAAACAACCGGCTGACTTTTCCATTTGTCGACCTAACATGGTTAGATTCAGATGGTAAATATCACATATTAAGTTGGGTGTCCAGTCCACCTCATATAATAAATCATATAATAAAATACAATTTATTGTTACTACTGTAAATCTATATTAAATTATTATGGGATCTCATTAAATGCTTTCAGAATCTTTACTTAAAAAAAAAAAAAATTTTGTTTCTGTATTTTTAAAAATTAACATTTTTATGACAGTATATTTACTGAACAAAAATGAATTCATTTATTTATCAAAATAAAAAGAAAATAGTACAAACTTTGCTAAAGTGATTATTAAAATTATTAACTTAGACATTAAAAACATTATTTTACCAAAACTATTTCGTATTTGTATAAATAATGTGTATTTTCCCCCATGCTGGAGAGCCTTTTACCATGTGTGGGGGGTAACCTTGTCACCTTATAAGATTTTTAAACAAAACAAACCACTTTTATGATTTATTCTCACACAAAATCTGTTGCTCCATCAATGTTCAATATATATATATATATATATATATATATATATATATATATATATATATATATATATATATATATATATATATATATATATATATATATATATATATATATATATATATAAATATATGTGTGTGTGTGTGTGTTTCAGCAATCATACAACATGGGAGAAGTGAAAAGCACATTTGTCTTCAGGTGTGTTAATAAACCACAGTTGATAAACTGTGTATAATGGTACTGAAGTGTACTGAAATATTTACATAATGTTCTTGGATGAAATTTGGAGTATCGTGGTACTTGTCCAGAAATATGGCAGTACCACAGTACTTTGTTATAATGTGATATTTATTATACTTTAAAGTACTTATTAAAAAATAAATAAATAAATAAATAAACATGATAGCAACATATAATGTACAAAGAAACGCTCATAAGTACTTTGTGTGCAAGTGTAAATACCCCAGGAGAGCAGTGCTCAGCAAATTTTAATGTCCAGAACATAATCACACAGATAATCAATGTTATATCACACAACAACAATAGCCATTTTTCACCTAACCAATATGGTTTACAGCTGAGAAAAACACAGATGTCAGATCCTCTGGTGTTATTGCTGTTATTTGCTCAGTCATGGCTTGATACGTGAGAGGGCTTTAAGAGTCTTCTGAGAACACTCCCATATCCACAGCTCCTCAAAACGAAGCATTTACACACATTCCCCTTTGTCACTGAGCAACACTTATTGACTTTATGCATAATTCGCTATTATATGTTTGCAAAGGGCGGGTCATTATACTGTTACCTACTCCATGCTCACTGACGTCCTTAAAAGCAGCGTACTGCGACATAAACCACGACAGTTTTTTTTTTTTCATTAAAGGCATTAAAAGTAAACTAATCTGTCACAACTCATAAGACTCAAGCATTTAAAAAGTTTAATTAAAAAATACTCCCTACCAATCAAAACATCAATGCAATGCGTAAACTACACGTTTTCGCATCCCTACCTGCATAGACAGCAGCAGCATCAGCATCACTCGGTGAGAGTAAAGGTGTGATATTGCGGATGGATGGAGATGGTTAGTATTGGATGGATGTGGCACATAACTTGAATATGTGCAGCGACGACTAACGGAGGGTTTTCTTTATCAAGCCTGTGCAAGCCCTGTCCTTGTCATTTCGCCTTCTTCTCAGTCAGTTTTCACGCGAGTGTTTGGCTCTCCCACCTGCACAGTATCCGACGCCGCGCAGTGAGTCTGCATCTAGGGCATGTATTTGGCAGGAAAGCAGGTTGGTAATGCCTACAGCGCAAGCGTATTCCGAGTACGCCATTCACCAGCAGAGCACTATTTTGCAAAAACGCTGAACCTCTGTGGACCACAGAGATTGAAGGGAGTGCGTTTACAATCACAACGAGAGAGAGAGAGAGAGAGAGAGAGAGAGAGAGTGAGAGAGAGAGAGAGAGAGAGAGAGAGAGAGAGAGAGAGAGAGAGAGAGAGAGAGAGAGACTAGCCTATAGTGAGTCATCAGTTGTGGCACTTTAACGTCTGTAACGGAGATTATACGTGAAATCTGTGTAAGGGAGTGAGTGAGGCTGAATCATTTTCAAACTCCTCCTACACAAACACTCTCAGTGGTGTGCCGTTCGTAAACTGGTGTTTTTGATCTATTAAAGACACATGGATCAAAACGCACAATTCCTATTTTTTATGGAATTTCCAGTAGGCTATTTTAATTAATGTGCCCTCGAAATCACAATAAAGTCCACTGTCTCTGTCTCTTGTCATTTCTCCGATTACTGGTGCGAGGGAGGGACAATATAAGTTTTCCAAGTGTGCCGCACAAATCCTGGAAAGTGAACCCAAAGCATTTCGATCGCCCCTTGGTGGCTGGCTCCAGTAAACCCCGCCCTCTCCATGTAATCGAATGGGACGCGAACCAAACTAAAAAATCTTCATTAGCCACACCTCTTTCTTTTATTTATTTTATTTTAGCTAGTTCTCATCACACAGACGTATCAAGAGTTTGTTTGTAAGTTATTATTTGATGCTATAAAAATGGGGTGTATGTTTGTCAGCTGTGCTTGCGATTGAGTCTGTCTGCAGGAGTGGGAGTAGGCCCGTACAGTTTCTGTTCAATGCGAATACATGTACCGTTCCAACCATATTCTACAATGTACAAAAAAGTACATGCATATTACAGAAAACACCGATGACTGTTTTAAGGGGAACAGGAATTAAGTTGTGCAGCTATGGCTTTTTAATAGACAGATAGTCTAGCATCATCCCAGAAAGCAAACGTACGTCTGCAAGATGTCTGTTAAAGATCACTTCATCTGGAAAGCATCTGCTGTATACTAACATCTGATAGACATCTTTAAGATGTCAGTTTAACATACATTCTAAATCATTACATCTTAAATACATCTTCTAAACGTCTATTTGACATCTGTCAGGAAACGTCCTAGACGTATTGCAGATGAGCAAACACTCTAAAAAATACGTCTTCCAGATGTAAACACACATCAAATAGACGTCTCTGTGATGTACATGTGCTATCAGGGATGCTACATAGGCTACATTCGCTATGATGACTACTTTTCCATTGATTGCACTTGAGCAAACGTCACCAACCCTCGACAAACTGATTGTACACCTCCAGTGATTTCCAGGCTCGGAATTGGATCCAATACGGATCCACACCATTTATGACTGAAATTTTCGCATTGTACCTCTCTCTGTCTTGTGTTAATACAGTCTCTTTATAATCTCTGTCACTTTGTCTCTTCATGATTTTCGTAACATTATAAACAAAGAAATATTCGAAATTTGCTTGTAAAACTTTGTAAACAGAGCAGCTTATGCCCTCAAAGATGGCGTCTCCGGGGAGGTCACGTGACATTAATTGGCCTGTGGGAACTATGTATAGGCGGGACCTTGATGCCGACATTGCCGAGCACCAGGATCACTACTGCGCAGACTCTTGCTCTGAATGACGTAAATCGCCAATGACTTACCTTTTTTTTTTAGTCTATGGTTTTTGCTACTTAGTCTAAACGAGAGTTGACATCCCAACAAACACTGAACATTCCCCAAACGATATATTCCCATTTGGTTATTTATGGGAACCAAAAATAAGGAGCTTCTCTGTTCTATTCCATTTTAGTTGCTTCCCTGATATCTTAGCACACAAACATCTTAGAGACGTCGATTTGATGTCTGCATTTACATCTGCAAGATGTGTTTTTTAAAGTGTTTGCTCATCTGCAATATGTCTCAGTTGTCTCCTGTCAGATGTTATAGACATTTAGAAGATGTCTTTAGGTGTTTATGGTTTAGAATGTAGCCTATGTAAAACTGCTCTAAGATGTTTATCAAATGGATTTATTAACATTTACACTGCAGATGTTTTCCAGATCTCCAGCAGATCTTACAGATGTGCCTGTGCCATCTCAGAATCGAGGGCACAAGATTGTGGGGGTAAGCGAGTATTGTGGTGGGACTGGGAGTACAGGCTGCCTTCAAATATCGATCAGATGAATGTATCTCAAAAGCAGGATATGTGTCACAATCATTGGATTTAGACATAATGTTGCCTTAATTCCTATGCTGCCTGTGCCTGGAGACAACTTTTTTCAGTATCGGAGGCAGCCGTTGTTTTGAATTGAATCGACTGAATCGAAATGTTTAAACAAATGAGTCAATGACTGGTGATTCACTAATAGCACGCTCACTTGTTGCCACCTGGTGTAATGATACTAGCCTATATCTTTTTGGTGACTATTTTTTTCACTAGATTCACAATTTTCAGAGTCACCGGGATGAATCAAAACGATTCATCCCGGTGAAACAGCACTCAGTCAAGCGCATCGATGCTGACCCACAAGCACAAGTTAGGGACTGGATTGAAGGCATTATTCTTTTCGGTAATGGGGATGAGATTGGCAATATCGATTTCGTATTGAAAAACTATACAGAACTTCACAGTTTAGGCCCTCGCATTTCTTTTGTATTGTAGATTTGGTAACTGGGTGTAATGCAGTGCTTTCCCTCAATGAATCCTCCCTATAGTGTAAACAAGTTCAACCTGTCATCAGCAGCAAGCGACATCGCAACAGGCACTGAACCTCATTGAAGTACAATGATTTTTTTCATGGTTATTGTTTTACTTAATAAAAAAAAAACACTCACACACACCTTCCGCGATAAACAATGATTAATTCATAGCGCGCAAAATGATCCTCGAGTCTCTCACCTGTGCGTTGACTGTGGTTTCCAGCGATCTAACGGTCCTCCCGTTATGTGTCTGACTCTGGATCCACCATCTTCATCGCCTGCCTGCCTTTCACTCAGTCTGTGGGCAAGCCCGACTCCTCCCATCAGAGACCTGCTAATCAAACACTGCCTAATTTATCAATGAACGAGCTGCAGATCTCGGCAAAACATCAGGGCAAGAGGCATGTAATGCTGCAGTCTTCATGGTTAGAAAACATAAAGAACCAAATCGGTATGAAAGCCCCTTCAATGGTATGAAATGAAACAAGTACACTGGTTATAAAATGCCTGTCCAGCCCTCCCACTCAAGAAAGCTATAATAGAGAATAAAAACAGGAAGCAACATTAGTATATTTAGCCACTACGTTTTTTTGTTGTTTTACTTATCATTGCTGTCAATTAAAACACAATACAGTTCAAAAGTTTGAGGTCAGTAGCCGATTTATTTTATTTTTCTTAAAAGTGAAAAAAAAAGAAAAAATGTGGTATTTGGTATAAACATTGGAGGGTTTTTTCTTTTCATAAAAAAATCCTGGAAAACAAATATTATGGTTTACACAAATATATTAAGCAGCACACCTGTTATTAACATTCATATTAATAAGAAATGTTTCCACCAAATCAGCATATTTAAATGATTTCTTAAGGATCGTGTGCCACTGAAGACTGGAGTAATGATGCTGAAAATTCAGTTTAACATCACATGAAAAAATTACATTGTAAAATACATTCAAATAGAAAACAGTTCTTTTAAATGGTAATACTATTTCTCAATATTATCCTACTGTTTTTACTTTATTGTGATTAATTAAATGCCTTGGCAAGCATAAGTCTTCTTTCAAAAACATTTTTTTTTTTTTAAACATACATGTCCTAGAAGGTATTTGTTTAGACCCCATGACAGGTTCCCCCTTTATTTCCCAAATCCTGTGTAGTCGACTAAACGCATGAAATGATTTTGATAAAATAACTTAACAAAATGGTCATGAATTCAAAATAATAGGAAATAAAAATGTTTGATGGACCTTTTCAGAGTAGCTTTATTTAATGTGGTAGGCAACTGACAAAACAACTCAATACGTTCAATACATTTTTTAATACAAATAAATATAAAATACATAATGGATGAGATGCTAGAAATGTTGGTTATCGTGGCTGTAAAAACCTACAGTACCTTATCAGCTTATCAGACAACACACAAAGAAAATACAAAACTTTAGGCTACATTTTTTCTTTCTAAAGCTAATTGAACTCTGTGATGCGTCTGCATATATGTACCAGTAATTTAAGATCTTGGTTTATGCAAATGATATTGTACAACAATGGAAATTGATATAACACAACTGGAAATGCTATGTGCGTCCTCAATGTAATCCACATTAATGTACACATCTTTAAAACCTCTAAGGCTACTTAGGACCATTTCTGAAACTGCCTAGGAAAAGAAACATGTCAGGTGGGAAGCCCTGAACAGATATAAAGACATAAATATTATTATCAACAATATAATTGGTAAGACTGTCTATTAAGGGTTTAAGATAGTAGGCAATACATTCGAAAATCACTAATAGCCTTATTACAAATAGCGAGATCTTAATTGCTGCGGGAGCCAAAAATCTTTTCCCTCTCTGCAACTATGGGCAATCAAAGTAAAAGTTATAATAATAAAATGTAATCATACAACATGATCCCAGTACAACAGTACACTCATAATGTGCATGCAAAAAGATAACCACAGATCAGCATGACTCAATGACTATGGTTCAGGTAATGGCATTACCAAATAATTGTATCTATAAAGTATGCAAACCTATAGCAAAGTGACCAAAAGATCTTACAGAGCAAATATGACGGCATTGGTTGATTCAAAATGTAGATCATTTTCATTTTAGACTGTACTTCCATATATGACTTTATTAGGAGTTTGGCTTACACTTTATTTTAAGGAGACTTTGTTACACTGTCATTATACATTTAAGTACTGAGTAATATGTATTAACTACATGTACTTACTATAGGGTTAGGATTAGGGTTTTTTGCATGTAATTATGCATAATTTATAGTTATTACTACAGTAACTACATGTAACCGCAACACTGTAAAATAAAGTGTTACCAGAGTTTGTTGAACAGCAGATGTAGGGAAGGGGGGGAAAGTGATGCTAAAACCGTAATATCTAAAACAAACACCTGTGCCACACCTGTACTATACACGATCAAAAGCTGTCAGTGTAGTTATACAGAGGAACGGTGTGGAGGAAAAGCTGGTTTTATTCTTGAGGTGACAGATATCCGGCAATTTTGCTGCTGCAGCTCAAAAATCTCAACAAAAAAAAGTGTCAGGGTCCAAGACATGCAGGAACAGAGAAAACCACTCTGAAATGGTCCTGGAGATTCAGTCTAGAAATGATATAACTCAAATACTTTCAGAATTCTAGCTCTTGTGCAACTGTGCAGAAAAAAGAAGAAGAGGAAAAAGAACAGGAATAGATTTTTATGAAGTGAATCTGAAGATCGAACTCTACAAGTCTTTTATAGATATGCTGAAAAACATGGTTTTGTAAAAGCTTTGCTAGAATGCTAAAAATGAATCGCCTAACAAGAATAGTTTTGTACATGATAGGAAAAGGCATTGTCCTGATTTAAAAGCGATATATTATAAAGTCTATTCAGAGTTTCACAACCTACTATAAGCTGTGAACGAATTAAGTTGTCAATGCAAGACTGAGCCCGTGAAACTTCAAAGTTTATTACAAGTTTAATAATTACGGAGTAACAGTGAGTCAACCATAAGTGTCTAATAGCTTATTAGCTTTCATAATAAATCATTACGTAAGTGAAGCTCACAACATTTCACTTTTCATATTTGCATAAATATCCTTTATGTTCAAAATAGTGTTAAACAAAAAGCAGCATTTGTAAACCCAGGCCCTTCTCCCCAGTGCAGAGAATAAGCACCAATCTGCACCAAATGGGCTTGAACATGGCATCGTGTTGTTGTTTTTGCAGCCACGTTTGGGCCAAGCTGAGAAAGACTATTCCTACTTCTGCAATTCCCTTTCATCATGAAAACCCATGCATCTGCGAGACCAGCTGGATGAACTATAACCCAAAACTTGTGCTTAAATGCTGAGACTAGTCCAACGTGGCCTTTGCTATTCTAATGAGTGAAGATGACGTGCTTCAGGAGCATTAATTAACATCCAAGAATCATCACACTGAACTTGCAATAGATATGTCATATAATACAAACTCCCCTGAATGAGGACAGCAGCTATAAATTCTGTCAATTTCATGTGCATTAATCTGTTTTTATTGATTTATGAAAATGTCTGTCTTTAGCGCTAATATTTTATACCAAATGGCTCCAAGAATCTTTAAATTCAATGATTGTGCTCACATTACTTATTGTAGCAAAACGTCAAGATATTGACTGAAATGTTCATGCTACAGTACAAAAGCTCAGGGACGAGCAGTAGACAGGATTCAGAGCCAGTCTGCCCCCAATTAAACAAAAGAGGGAAACTGGGTCAGAATCACTTTGGGCTCTAAGTGTTCTTTTCAAGTCTGCACCACAGTGTGCGTTTAAGACTCCCGACAGGAATCATAAAACTGCAGATAGGATGATGAGAGCATACTGTAATTGATTTGTGGTGGAAGACTTTAAACAACGTAAGACCAACAAAACTATATGAAAAAAAAAAAGATTCTGAAAACAGACCTGAGATATCCAGTACCTGAACTTAAGCAGCTGAAACAGACCATGCTTACACTGTTGAGACGGGTCATGGGTTTTCATCATGAGTGGGAATTTGCTCCGGCAGAGCATCTCTGCCAAACCGGCCAAGGAGTCCAGTCGTTTTTTAGAGAACCGGTGTGGGCGGCTGGAGCCAGAAATACATTGACCTATCGCAGCTCTCCCACACTGTGGTGGGCGGAGTGTTTCTCACGCTACTGACCTATAACAGAGTCCAGCCACTTTCTGTAGGAAATGGCAAAGCTGCTTTGCTCGGGGCTCCTGCAGCCTGTGAGGATTCTAGAGACAAACGAGTGCTCGGAGGGAAGTCCGGGGTGGGGGAGCAGGGGTCCCCGCTTTAGCCGCTTGGTGTCCTGCGTGTAGCTTCCATGTTTGCTCCCATCCAGAACACAGTCAACGTCCATGGCCTGGGAGGCGCTGCCGTCGTCACAGGGTTCCTCGCTGAGGAGGACATCGGTGTGGGTGAGAGGTGGAGACTGCGATCCTGCCCCCTGGACGTGTTCCCTCCGCCACTGGTGCCATAGGTAAAAGACATGCCGCCTGTTGGAGAAGCCTGGTTTTGAGTTTGTTCAAAAACCACATACCCGTTTACTATACAACAAAATGCTCTTTACGTTATAGGTATGGTGGGTCACAGGCTTGTCACACAGAAAATGCAATGCTCAATGTTAGAATAGCAAAATAAATAGGCTTATCAACTTTTAAAAAGGAGGAAAAAACATTTATTTTGTTCCTGATGTCAAATTATGACATGCCCTCGTCTTTAAAAACCACAAAAAAAAACAATCCAAAGTAAAAGAAAATACATCCCAGACTACATTACAGTTTGTGCAACAGAGATGAACATTGTGGCAACTCATATCTCATTGATGCGTGAATGCACTTAATGGCTGTTCTGATAACCACTACTTTTCCTTGTGGAACAAGAAAACTTTGGTGTGATTTTTTTACAACTATTTTCACTTTTAAAAAAATCTATAAAATAGAACAAAAAAAAATTTGTCACAGGCCATCATATGCTATCCAGACTTGTAATTTAGTGCATGGGATATATGGACAGCTTTAATGATAGTGCTTTTTAGAGCTGCTCCCTAATTTTCAACTAATCAGTAGTCGACCAAAATTGTTATTTATGGAAGCTTGTTTCCGCCACTGAATAAAAAAAATATATATAATAATTGCGACTTTTTATCTCACAATTGCGAGATATGAAGTCAGAATTGTGAGAAATAAAGTCGCAATTGCGAGATATAAAGTCGCAATTCTGAGAAATAAAGTCGCAATTGCGAGATATAAAGTCGCAATTATGAGAAATAGTCGCAATTGCGAGAAAAAAAGACAGAATTGCGACTTTTTATCTCACAATTCTGACTTTTTTTCTCACAATTGCGAGTTTACATCTCGCAATTCTGATTTAACACATAATTGCGAGTTTATATCTCGAAATTCTGACATCTTTTCTCAGAATTGTGAGATATAAACTCGCAATTGCGAGTTATCAGGCCAATTCTAAGGGGGAAAAAAGACTAACTTTTTCCCCCTCAGAATAGTTTATATCTCACAATTCTGATTTTACAACACGCAATTTTGACTTTATATCACGCAATTCTGACTTTATAACACGCAATTCTGACTTTATATCTCGCAATTCTGACTTTATATCTCGCAATTCTGACTTTATAACACGCAATTGCGATTTTATATCACGCAATTCTGACTTTACATTTTGCAATTCTGACTTTGTATCACGCAATTCTGACTTCACATCTCGTAAAGATGTAAACTCGCAATTGTGAGAAAAAAAGTCAGAATTGTGAGATAAAAAGTCGCAATTACCTTTTTTATTTTTCATTCAGTGGCGGAAACAAGCTTCCATAGTTATTAGTCGGTTAGTCGCAGAAAAAAAACTTGTGGCAAGTCACGCAGTCCGTGAGGGACAAATCGTTATCGGCGGTTCCTTATGGTAATTACAGTATGTCGGTCAGGAAATCCAAACGTTCACCTTTCCATCCATCGACCTCAAATTTGGCTTAGGCCTATCATTTGAAACACCTAAATAAATGTGCGCTATTATTAGGCGCATATCCAAGTGTTATTGAGAGAATGTGGAAGCTAAAGAATAGCGCACTTACGCCGGCGCGATCACAAGATTTTTTCCTGATAACAGCAGAAACAACTTAAAATACTCTGTCATTTTTGGTCATACAGATTAGAGTGAAACATCATTTAAAAAAAGTTTTATTTGTGTAAACTCACAATAACAAGAAAACATAGTGCCTTTGTAAAAAAAACAAAAACAAACAGGATGCGCTTTCTGCCGTCTTGGTCTTTGTGAACTGGAGCACGTCAACAAATAAACCAAAACTCAGTGTATAGTTTCCTCACAGACGTGAGAAATATATCTATAGAAAGCTTGAAATGTCAAGCGATTGCAAACCAATTCAAGTGGAAAATAAATATTTTCAGATTATGTCATTTGTATGAAACATGCATACAGGCGCATCCACTACTGTGGATATGATGAGTCAGCATTGTCCGAAAATACAGAAAACATTATCAATAAATTATTAAAATGTTTAGACAGTCTGTTGTTTTTTTCACGACACATTCATAATCATTACTTGTGCCGGTGTACTGTGGCAAGCTTTATGCGTGCGCTTGAGCGCTGATTAGGCTATGTATTATATATAGGCAATTAAAGGATCTTTATTATAATTTCTATGGCTTATTAATATACACGTGCAATTAGTCGAATAATCTCTTAAATGAACGACAACTAGTCGACTAGAAAAATCTTTTATAGTTTTATATTAATTCCTCATGTTTCATAATGTTTAAGCATTAAGAAGTGTGAAATGTTGGACAAACAATAATCTCACCTCTTCAAACAGCAAACCTGAAAATTAAATATATCTGTTGCTATGATGCACTTTAGGAGGAAAAACACAAGCTAAAGGTATATAAACACCATTCACTGAGCAGCTGCTCCTTGCATCAGACACGAGGGACGAGGCTGGGAAGGGGAAAAACTAAAAGAGCTAGAAACAGAGATCTAGCAAACTGCTTGCCTCTCCCTCTGTGAGCTTCAAATCTGCAGCAAAAGACCATCCATCATTTTATAACAGTAAGCCATAAACACATCAGGCCAGACCAGCTGAGGGCCAAGGACAGACTTCTGGCAAGCAAAGTCACTGTATTCACAGTGAGACTTGTGGAAGCACAGTCTGATGTTGCCTGACTCCGCGACTACTATCGGCGCAGCAAGACCTGGAGATCTGTTACTGGCTTCAAACACCTTGTCTGATCACTCTCACCTGTGGCACCACAGCGTCTCGTGGCCTGGATATGACTCGATGAGATCAGTGCAGAGCTCCATCTCCTGATGGAAGAGCTGAGGGATGACGTCATTCCGGTGGTTGTCATCAGACGCTCCCGCCGTGCTCTCTCCATTCGGCTGCTGGGTGGGGTGGAGGTCCCTCTCTCCAGCCTGCCTCAGCTCTCTGGACAGAGCTTTGAGCAGGTGCTGACGGTAGTGGAAGCCGCTGTGATCTGACACGTGCACGGACACCCAGAGTCGGGTGGAGGACAGCTCATCATGCAGAACCTGGAGTACAAAGTCACAGAGTATTATCTTTATTTAACGTAATCATTTGTTACAGCAGAATTTTACGTTATTGTTCAGTTGCCAAGTTGTCAAGTCACCTTCATTTATATAGCGCTTTAAACAAGATTGTTTCAAAGCAGCTTTACAGTGATAATAGGAAATTAAAGTAACAGAGATTGTTTTAGCTTTACAGCAGCTCTAGAAAAGAGTTATGGTCCAGCTAAAGTTATTTTGATTGATTCGCTTCCGTCGCAACGATCATTAGTTATTAATTTAGGGGCCGCTAACACGACATTATTTTAACTAAAACCAGAAAACTTTGTTCTGGCCACTCATTTGCACGACAACAGTGCTTGGTGGCTCGAGAACGCAAACTTTGAAATAGGTTCCAAGGTGCAAGTTTTGAAACATTTTGAAAAACGTTATCTTCTCAGTGTTAACTTCAAAAACATTAATCTGTGAAAACGATGACGCCGTGCACATGCATATTATGTGTTTAGTCTATAGGTATGCGCATTTGAATATATATGTGGGCAGGCACGTAGTCTTTAAGTGGTAAGATCTATGGATGTCAACATATCAATCAATTAATTCAAAAACCTAAAAAATGTTATGCAAAAATACAGTATGCATATTAATTACTGCACATCGTTAAAGCTGCAGTCCACAGTTTTTCTTCTTTGTCGCCATCTCTGTTCGAAATCTGCAATTGCCGTTATTCGCGGAATTATCAACTTTACGTGAGTTGTGCCTCGACACGGCACAGCGCGAATGAACACAATGTTTGAGGAGAATGTGAAGCTGTCAGTCGCCGCGCCGGTGTGGATACTGGCATTCAGAATCACAGATTATTCTTTTTGGAAGTAAGACCAACATAATAATTTTCACTGGAAAATGTCATCTTAACAAGTAAGAAACATCCACTGGTGTTCTGACATTGCAGTAAATCGCGCTGATTATATCTAACAATCACTTATCATATCACGCAAAACCGTGCAAATTATACTTTGTTCTCAAATTGTTAATGTTAACACCGTCAGCATTGTGTGACTACATGTAATGTCCTTTCGATTCCGATATGTATCCTTGTTTTCGCATGGGTCCGGTTGCAGTCTCTTTTTTTCTGTAGCCACTCCGAAGTCCGAACGAAGTCTTTTGCATTTTACAGCGGGCGAATCTGTTGTCACTGGTGATTGTCGTTTGAACCTTTCTGGATCCGCCATCAAATTGATAAGTTTAATTATATCAAGTGCTGTGAGAAAAGGCTATAAATCTCCACCTCCAACATCCTCACACGCAATATAGCTTATACTAGCCGAGACTCCTTCTTTATGTGTACAGATGTGACGTAATGACACAAAGACATGCTCGAATCTCCCGCGGAAATCCACCAGTACCACTGGAGTTAAAAACATTATTACAAGCTTACCGCTTTGAATCGAGCTAAGGCAAGCCAATAGTTTTGAACACTGGCTGGTTATGTATTTTCTCAAATATGTATTTATTTTGGATCATTTTTAACCCCAAAAAAAAGCTACGGACTGCAGCTTTAAAATGTGTAAAAATTCTAAAAGGCAAAAGTGTGTAATTTCTGTAGCACTGCAAAAATTGAGGATGTACCGATATTACATTTCTGTCCAGCAACAAACCAATTATTTTAAGTTACAACAAATAACTGATAAATGGCTGATATAAATATACAATTTTGTCTAAATAAATAAATAAAAATTAAACACTAAAACTGATTCAATCATTTTAAATGCTACAAGGGAATTTATGCACAAGATTGAGATTGGCTAAAGGTTACATTTAAGTGATGTTAAACCTTTTATGCTAATAAAGATGAGCTTTAAGTGAGTGTTAGATGACAGAAAGGGTGATCTAAAAATAAAAATAAAGGACCCGAGCAAGCATGCATAAATTAAATATCCAATATAAGCTGATAACAGAGAAAGTATTTTAATATCACAGACGTTATTTCACCATGATTTAAGTTAGATTGTAAACTCAGTAAAGAACATACTACAGAGATCTAGGATGGAAATTCAGACTAAGGAAAATAGTACCAAACAAGACATGCAGAAATGTAAGATGACAGCCGCATAACCCAATTATCCTGAAATAGCCTATGAACGGCTCAGACTGGTTCAAGTATGTTTAGTCCTGGATCATTAAATCTACAGGCTCATCCTTTTTATACCAGGGCCTTTTGCTGGGATTGAGCCCCATAACATTTGCCTAATTTCGTATCCAATTAAGAATAAGCACACATCAAAGGTCTGGCACTTAGTGACCCCCTAAGAGCCAATAAGCTGGCCTGACTAACATCACTCAGCTCTTTCTGGAAAAAATAAACAAAGCTAAAAAGACAGAAAACGGATTCTGTAATCAGGTCTCTTCCCAAGTTAACTCAAGTGGAGAAGAAATGTATCAAGATCATCAAAGGCTCAGGTAGATTTATCAACCTCATAAATAACCATGTCATGTTGCCTTCCTTGTAACACAACTGATGATGTGCCAGTGTGATCCATCATTCCTTAAAGTAATCCAAAACAAACCTAATCTTTGAGACGTACGCAAACAAAGCAACATCTACCAGACACGCGTTTTCAGTCAATATGATGAATTACATGGACGTGGACGCAGTGGACTGAGACGGCCTACCTTCAGATTGCCCTTTGCCATGTTTTTCAATACCCAGATGCGATGGGACCAGGCATTGTAGTTGCTGGGGTAACGGCCGGCTGCATCTGCACAGACCTTCATCTCCTCCTGCAAGGCTCTCTGCAGTCGCTCACACCGTCTCCTGCTCACAGCGTCTCCTCTGGGTTCAGCCTGATCTTTCAGTTCTTGTCCAGAACACTCGATCTGTAGCCGCTGCAATACCCAGCGCCTGTGTCCACAACACAAACTAATTCAGCAAACTGATCACAAACATATGTCTGGATGCACAAGAAATTTAACACACTTATGGTTTTATTTATGAGAGAGCAAAAATGTGCAAATTATAAAAAATGAATTCTTTCATAACAGTTTTAAATTGGCCCAGATTGTCGGCGCCGATAGCCTCGTGGGCAGCGTGCCGACACATATCGCTGTTGCGCTACGGGTGACCAGAGTTCAAATCCCAGCTCGTGGACCTTTCCCGATCTCGTCCCCTCTCTATCCCACCTCGCTTCCTACCCACTATATATTATCCAATATCACAATATGTATTAGCAAAAAAAAAAAATGTATTAGCCCATATGATCTCAGCACCCTAAATATCTGACGACACAATATTGTCCTGCAGGTACAAATAAGTTCTTAGTCTTGTCAGTTGCAGCTACGGATGTTTAATAGTGTTCCAGGGACCCAAGTAAAGTGGTTTGCCCTTGCCCTTGCAGTAGTGACGAAATTCTGCTTCAGACAGTGCCATTGTTGACATGTAGCAAGAGGTCTGCAACTGCAGCCAGTTTCATTTCATGGTCGCCTGGACACTGCTTTCGTTTCAGCCCGTTTGAGAGCATGGGAAGAGATTCCATACAAATTCAGCTACATGAAAGCAGGGCACATTTTCCGGTACAGCGCATCAAACTATTCCATTATTAATTTCTTAATGCCTAATTTATTATATATATTTTTTTATACATCACGATTTGAAAATTCAGACTCATCTAATGGTGAACTAAAAGTACTCTGGAAAAATAGGACACTCGAAGGGTGCAGAACGCAGCACTTCTATAATGTGTCATTTAATATTTTAAAAGACCTCATTTAACTGTATACAAAGCAGAACATCTTGGGAGTCACACAATAAACCCTCAGTGCACTAAAGCAGGTGCCTTAACTGAATTTCATTTTTATGTTATATTTATTCATAGTTACAAAAAAAGTACATTGATTTGTTTATTTAAGACATAAATGCCCAAACATTATTATTAAAAAACTAAAATCAAACTTGATTTAGGGCTGTGGGCCGAATGTAAATGTTACACTATATCCAATTATATTATTTAAAGATGATGTTTTTTTACAAGATGTACTAATAGAAGTCTCAGGTGTCCCCAGAATGTGTCCGTGAAGTTTCAGCTCAAAATATCCCACAGATCATTTATTATACCATGTTGTAAATGACCATTTTTTAGTGGTAGGAAAAACATGCTTTGGTTTTCGTGCCTGTACAGCTCGTGCCTCAGATACTCTGCAAAAAAAACGAAAACATCTATTCGGTTTTGATTATCATCTCCATCGCGGTCACACTCACGTGACATTGCAGTTCTTCATCAGGAAAGTTTATTATCTGTAAGCATTTTAAAGCCATTTCAGTCCAAACTTCTGATATATGGTTTTCTAAGCGCACATATCCGAAGCACCCACACAGAAAGCTGGATGTCAGACAGAGAGTCCCTTGAGTATTAAACTAAGATCTCTTTCACGTCTTATTGCGCTTAAACTGTCAAATATACACAAGGTTATGTCAAACAAAGTTCACATAAACAGTCGGTTATGTGTGTGAATGTAAACAGCAAGTAAATAAATCGCATATGTATATTAGATCTGAGTATTAAAGTGAAAGCAGCGTAAAATACAGTACCTACTGCTATATATGATGTTAAAATGAATCAAACAACAAATGAAAAACAGAAAATCACTCACTGCTCTTGATTGAATTAACTTTAGTAGCTTTAATAAGAACACTTTTCTTACATGAATGCTGCTGTTAAATGCTCTGGCGAGGAGATAAACATGGCGGACTGAGTACAGCTCACTCAGGCCGAGGTCTATGCTAATATGTGACATCACAAAAGCTAGAATCTGCAATTGGCTTGATCTGAGACACTGCTTATATTTATGGGGATTCAAAAAAAGAGGAGTGGGTGGATTTTTACCATTATAGGGCGGTTGTTCACACACACTGTCGACACACATTTATGTTCAAACACCATGTGAAAGTGAATTTTGCGTAATAGGTCCACTTTAAGATAAATTAAATTCATGCCTACATTTTTTTAAATCCTCTAACCTGTGTATCCATGTCTCTGGGCTTTTAGGATGCTTAGATAGTGCTAGTTTGCCCAGGTAAAGGTCCTTTTCTGGGTTTAACACGCCACACTGCAGGAGCTCTTTCCTACAAAACAGACAAGTTCATCAATGCCCAGATGAATTCACAAAGATATGCAAAATCAAAACAACCAAAATAAACAGTACAGCACCACCTCCTGGACGATATGTTTCTTCCATGCAACATTAGCTTAAAGACATTCAGATCAAGATTTGTATGTAAAAATCCAAGTAAAGAATATTAAAGCTGCTTTCTTAAAGCAGGCATGGATTAAATATCCATAGAGTGTTTCCTGTACAAAACTAAATGTTAGCAAAAGCAGTGAATTTGTGGAAATAATTGCTCCCCATCTCTGAAATTATGAAAAAGTCACATTTAGAGTTCAATGTAGCAGCAGCTTTTTGATGTCTTTTAATGTCCCAAATTAGACACAACTTTCTAAAGATAGCAACAATGACACATTCAGCGCAATAAAATGACACTGAATCCTGACATCAAAGGGAAGAAAGAGAGAGAGAATTTCTAAAATAAATAAATGAATAAATACCATAGATGTACATTATGATCATTAAGAAAAGGTTTTCAGGTAACAATCATGAAATACAATGAAAATGTACCTGACATTCCACGCAGTGGTAAAATCTGGGTTTAATAGAAGCAATGTGCAGGTTATATCTACCAGTGCTTGAAGAGAAGGAGAGAGAAATCATTTTTTTCAGTCTGAACTGTTGTAGGAACAGCCATCTTTTAATAAAGACTTATGCTGCCTTCACAAGCTATCGGAATTATAGTAGCCTAAATACTAGTTTGCTAGTAAAAAAATTGGACATGAACAAAATTTTAATGTGATGAGCTGTTGTTTCCCACAACTTTAGAAGTGGGAAAATGGGAAATTTCCGATAGCACGAGAAGGCAGCATAAGGTCACGGCAATGTGAGCCGGCTGAAAAATCTAAACCAATAAACCTTCGTCCTACCTTCCCGGTCGAGCCACTGCTTTCTCTGCCTGTAGAGCAGGAGTTTATTATGCACATAGGGCAGCAGAAACTTGACACACCAGCTCTCCACTCCCAGCTTATTCTCCACCAGGACGATGGGGCTTCTGTTGTATCGGGCTTCAGGGCACGGAATGAGGCCGATTTCATCACTGTGAACACATTTTAAAAGATAAAAAGCAGAACAAGTCACAAGGCTATTTTAAGAAACTCTGCTGAATACTAAGGAGCTGAAGGCAAATGGCAATGCATAAAACATCTCAGCTGACACAAAGTCATTCCAGATGTATCTCTCTGGCAGAGATACAAGAGTGTCATAAGAGAAGAGTGAGATGAAACCACTGGGACAGGGCACTGACCTTCAAATATGGAACACACAGACCAAACACACAGGAAAATAACAATTGCACTTAAGGCAACATTTAAAAAGACAGGCAATCAAGATATGTTCCTTATGTGGACAAAAGTGATGTGTTTGGAGAGCCACAATGAAACCATTGAATCTGTCACTCCAAATACTAGATAAAAAGACAGACACGGACACTTATTGAGAAAGATGATAATAAATGTAACATGAAATGTTTTGAAGCTCGTCACGCCCTCTGGAACTGACAAGCGAGTAAGTTAACTGATAAGCACCCACAGCTATAACATGACAAGCATGCACACTTTTACTTCGCGTTTCACTCAGTAAAACTTTCAGCGTTTGCACGGAGCAGTTAAACAGATAACCCAAACAACATATCACACGAGCTGGTCTAAAAGCGAGGGTCGGTGAGCTCTACCTGCTGCTGGCCTGCGCCGGGCGCCAGCGGGTTAGAGCTGGTTAGTAGTAGCCAGTTAGCCAGCCACTGCCTGCGCAAGTTACACGGGCTGCTGCACTATGTTCTCCCTGCGGCTGAGCGCGAGGGTCTGACCCCATGGAAGGATTAAACTAGACGACCGTAAACGTAAACAACGATGAGAGATCACATACGTACATGTTCGGGTTTCTTTTAAAGGCGTTATTGATATCTTTCACAACTCTCTGGACCAAGACATCCACCTCCTCTTCCGACTCAGCCATTTTCAGAGCCCGAGTGACGTCAACGCGGGTGACTCAACCTCATCCGGGACATTTCCCAGTCATCCAGTAAAACATGTGCTGAAATGATATTGATTACTCTTGTAATTTCTGTAAAGGTGAAAAGGAAGCTATTTTTCATTTATTTTTCCATTGCATAATACATAAACATTATGTGAATGTATAATTAAAGGACTCACATATAGAAACAGTTTTAATTTCTTTGTTACTATGTGAATGAAAAATAGTCTAGATACTGTATATATTTTAATTTCTTTTTCAAGAACAAAACCAAAAGTTGGGTTTTACTGTACTTACATTTAAGTAGGCTATATGAAATTAAGTAAAAATGTAAATTGTACCACCAGTCTATTCCAGTAAACAATACAATTTGGCAAGGTGACAATATTTATTTGATAATAAAGAACGAATAGTTTTATTAAAGGTTTCAACTCTGTTGGCAAAACAAAGTTTCCCAATTAGCAGTATAAAATAAATCAAAAGCAGAAGGTGGTGCTTGGGTATTAGCTCTGCATAATGCCAATACCCCTGTGGGAATCGCATCCATGACAATAGAAAACTCCATGGTGTCATGGAAGCATTGGCAAATTGACAAGACAGGCTGTGACTCACGGAAATAACCATTCAAAGCCGCCATTTAAGTTGGTGGCAGGATATTTCTCTTTTCCATCAAAATCAAATAGTACATTAAATATGAATTTTCGGGTCAAAGTCATGATAGCACATCAGGTCATCACAGCTTACTCTGTTTTACTGCTACACAGAACAAGCCAAATGATACACTGATTTGGTAAACAAACGTAGCCTCTTTTAATAGGCCTATATAGAAAACACATGTTATATATTTTCTTCATGAACTAATCATTACACTATATGCTTAAAAGTTTATGTATATGTCCTAGTTTACATACACACTTTTAAGACTGCTTCACACCTCATCCCCAACAAACTTCAACATTGTAACACTGATGTTGTTGGATTTAGAATCAGTAGGCCTAATACATTACACTCTAATTTACCCATCACTATCACCGTGCATTTTACCTATCCTGCAACTTTTATTATTAGTATCTTTATATATCAACACTCATGTCACTGAGGTGAGGTGTGCATATGCGTGTTGTTATTGTAGGGACCAGACTGATGTTACAGTGAATACCAGTAGAGGGAGACATGTGGTTTTTGGTCTGGGTCTGCTGTGTTGAGATGGTAATCTGGAACAGAACTGAATTACTCTTGACTGCGAATTTCATCATGACAGTTTGTGTTCTGCAAATGAGTTCCAGTAGGCCCTACTTAATATGAGATGATAAAAAACTTAAACTGACTGGTGTTACCCCATACGTAGATATATTTAGCAGTTTCTTAACAGACAAACAAATTGTAAAGCTACAGTAAGCTAACTAGTTTGTAGTTTATTTATTGAAGTTTGTATTTGGTGTTGGCATATCATTCTCACTAAAAGAAACTGGGAAAGTGAAGTTTTCCTGATGTTGGAGAAACAGGATGAAGTGTTTATCATCATAGCAGTCACAACTATTTAAATACTCACAGAAGTTTTTTATATATATAAACATGTTCCACTCGTTACACAATAGGTAACAAGAGTTCACTGTGATCCAGGAGATGCAGCTTCGCTGACACAGTTCTTTTGGCCTTGCTTTTGATTATTTTCTGGAGTTGCTGCATGATAAATTATGAAATGTAATCTTGCACTTTAAGAATTGAGTATGATTAGTATTAATAAGACTAATAATTCATTCTGAATTTAAGATCCAGCATCTCAACACAGCAGTTATGAATCATCACAACAGAATGTCACCTTCATCTGTAAAGATTAGCTTTTATCTAACCTTAATAAATTTTGCTGATTTGGATTATCTGTACGTGATGAATGAGTGTTGCATTTTGACTCATTTTAGGGAATGGATAAGAATTGGATTGCCCCCCAAATAATTGTACCAATTAGTAATAAGTACATTATTTATCTCACCTATACGGAAAATCCCAAAATTAATTGTAAATATTTTCCAAAATGATTAGTGATATGAGCTTCTATCTTATCATTTGCTCTCTGTGACCATATCTTTTCCCTGGTTTGTTATCTTTACAGATGCTCCAACTGAGTGTCACTGATTACAGGACCATTAAACTGATGCTATGTCTTTATATCTCAAGGCTGTGTTTCCTTTCCTCACATCTACTACTTAACTCGCTCTTTCATTCCCTTAATAGGATAGGTGCCCTATAAATGCGGAGCTTACCTTTGAGCCCCAAGGGACAGTGTACACTTCAAAACAGTTTCTCCCAAAGCTTCTTCTCATTTTGAACGGGAAATAGAGAACTGGAGAGGGAATTTCCTGTGTTCATTTGTAGGCTATTCACAGAAAAACATGCAACAGTGAATTTGCGAAGCTGTCAGCATAATGTGTTTAAAAACGAAATGCAAATGTTTTGGGGGTTACTGGTTAGTGATCATATAATGACTGAAGATTGGGTCATGTGTTCTGCTATATATTACAGTAAATCGATATCAGGCCCACGGCCACGATTGACAGGAAGCCTGATTTCAGATGGCACTGACCTGACAAATCAGCTGCAATGGGGTAGAAACACTTGGTGATATTTAGGGGGATTGAAGTTCAGTAGTGACCTAAAAACCTCTTTCCTCTTTGAGAGTTTTTAAATGGAATCTTTTCTGCACTATGTTTAATTAAACCCATTTAATAAATGAATGCTTCTGCATAATCTCAAAAACCAATGCTGCATGGTCTTTACATTACACTATTTTCATTTGAGGAGGATCTTGTTCTCTTTCCAGACATATGCAAGGTTTTTACTGAACATTTCCTGTGGCTTAAGGCTTCGATAACTAAAAAATGGCACAGACCTTTTGTTGCTATGGCAGATTTGTTGTGATACAACTCAATGAGAAGCATGACATCATTTTCCACTACCAGAAAAAGACACAATATTACAGTGTGGAGACAACCACAGTATCCTGAGTGACCCACATAAAGTTAGCATGTCTGCCTTTTGGAGGGATGTGCTAACTGTTTCAAGGTGCATAGCTTTACACATTTTCCTGTATAAATCAATGTCTCCATTTACAAGTCATATCGCCTTTATTAATCACTGGAGGAGTTTGTTTCACTGTTTTAATATACACTTAAATTATTATTAAGTTATTATTTTTAAGTGACGATTGTATGTACAGGTCCTTCTCAAAAAATTAGCATATTGTGATAAAGTTCATTATTTTCCATGATGTAATGATAAAAATTTAACTTTCATATATTTTAGATTCATTGCACACCAACTGAAATATTTCAGGTCTTTTATTATTTTAATACTGATGATTTTGGCATACAGCTCATGAAAACCCAAAATTCCTGTCTCAAAAAATTAGCATTTCATGAAAAGGGTCTCTAAACGAGCTATTAACCTAATCATCTGAATCAACTAATTAACTCTAAACACCTGCAAAAGATTCCTGAGGCTTTTAACCCCTTAAGTGTCACCGTCCCACAGGTGGGACGTTTGCCACTATATATTTAAAACAATAATATCTTAGTAAAAACCTAAAGTAATATTGACAAACTATATATCATTTGAAAGCTTAAAATCTCTAGTTTTCAAATTTGGTGGCTGTTTTCTAAAATAAATTACAGAGGAGCAGTAATTTATCAATTTGCAACAAGAATATTTCATATTCATTAGGAGTATTTAGGCCTTTATTTTGAAATAGCAATAAACATGAAAAATTATGAAAATTTGGTAGAAACCTCAGTTTGTTTTCATGCCAAGAGTTCAAAAGATAACACCAATTCCATTTTATGAGAAAAAAAGGTCTGAAAATGTTTTAAATATAAAGAAAAATATTATGTATTCTCGATTTGTGATGTGGCTGCGAGCTATAATGCACATATGTGGTCTTTTTTATGCATTTATTAGAGGTTTAATTCAAATCAAATACTGCCAAACCACCCATACTACTTCTGAATAGGATGTCTACTTCATAAATTGTATGAAAATTATGGAATTACATGGTTCAGATCACTCAAAACATATATGAAAATGGAGGCGCCCTTATATGGGCAGTAATGGAGTCTGGTGTTCACCTAGTGAAAAAGTTGGGTACTGCGCCCGAATAAAATCTTACTGTAAACTCATTTTTTGAGATATCAACCTAAAATTTGGAACACAACTTGTTCAGATTTTTGGCTTTAATTTCCTTGCAGTTTTAGAGTAAAATATGTTTTGTAATATATATATTTTATATAAAATATTAATAATTATATTTTTACATTAAATAATTTCATAAACTTAAACTTATATAACTTTTTTTCTGTTTCATTTTTAATAATTTCTACACTTCTACAATAATCTGGAAAATGTCTGGAAAAAAACAAGACCAACCATAGGTCAATATTCCAAAGCATTCTTGAATTACAACCATTTAAGTTTGGATAATTATTTTTATGTCTATGCGAAAAAAGGGGGGGTGACAGTTATGGGGTTAAAAACTCCCAGCCTGTTTCATTACTCAAAACCGCAATCATGGGTAAGACTGCCGACCTGACTGCTTTTCAGAAGGCCATCATTGACACCCTCAAGCAAGAGGGTAAGACAGAAAGAAATTTCTGAACAAATAGGCTGTTCCCAGAGTGCTGTATCAAGGCACCTCAGTGGGAAGTCTGTGGGAAGGAAAAAGTGTGGCAAAAAACGCTGCACAACGAGAAGAGGTGACCGGACCCTGAGGAAGATTGTGGAGAAGGACCGACTCCAGACCTTGGGGGACCTGCGGAAGCAGTGGACTGAGTCTGGAGTAGAAACATCCAGAGCCACCGTGCACAGGCGTGTGCAGGAAATGGGTTACAGGTGCCGCATTCCCCAGGTCAAGCCACTTTTGAACCAGAAACAGCGGCAGAAGCGCCTGACCTGGGCTACAGAGAAGCAGCACTGGACTGTTGCTCAGTTTTTCATGTCATTCGGAAATCAAGGTGCCAGAGTCTGGAGGAAGACTGGGGAGAAGGAAATGCCAAAATGCCTGAAGTCCAGTGTCAAGTACCCACAGTCAGTGATGGTCTGGGGTGCCATGTCAGCTGCTGGTGTTGGTGCACTGTGTTATATCAAGGGCAGGGTCAATGCAGCTAGCTATCAGGAGATTTTGGAGCACTTCATGCTTCCATCTGCTGAAAAGCTTTATGGAGATGAAGATTTCATTTTTCAGCACGACCTGGCACCTGCTCACAGTGCCAAAACCACTGGTAAATGGTTTACTGACCATGGTATTACTGTGCTCAATTGGCCTGCCAGCTCTCCTGACCTGAACCCCATAGAGAATCTGTGGGATATTGTGAAGAGAAAGTTGAGAGACGCAAGACCCAACACTCTGGATGAGCTTAAGGCCGCTATCGAAGCATCCTGGGCCTCCATAACACCTCAGCAGTGCCACAGGCTGATTGCCTCCATGCCACGCCGCATTGAAGCAGTCATTTCTGCAAAAGGATTCCCGACCAAGTATTGACTATTGAGTGCATAACTGAACATAATTATTTGAAGGTTGACTTTTTTTTTGTATTAAAAACACTTCTTTTATTGGTCAGATGAAATATGCTATTTTTTTGAGACAGGAATTTGGGGTTTTCATGAGCTGTATGCCAAAATCATCAGTATTAAAACAATAAAAGACCTGAAATATTTCAGTTGGTGGGCAATGAATCTAAAATATATGAAAGTTTAATTTTTATCATTACATCATGGAAAATAATGAACTTTATCACAATATGCTAATTTTTTAAGAAGGACCTGTATACACGTTATGATGTCAACACTTTAAGACTTACCTGATGTTCTATGCTTTGATTGTAAAAGTGCGGTAAAATTTTACTATTGTTTGGTGAATTATTGAAAAATCCAATCATTTTAATATTTCGCATGCGGGAGAAAGCTTTTCCTTACTGATTTCGTAATGGGTTGACCTATTAAGAAACTGTAAAAAATGATATGATCAATAAGTTATGACAACATATGTTTTTACATTGCTTTAACTCATTGAAATAAGTTAAGCTTTTTTTTAAAAACTTTTTTAAATATACTTTACACAAGGTTCAACCAATTTTTTAGTCAGTTTAATGTAATTTAAGTTGAAATGACTTAAACAAAATATTTTTTTTACAGTGAATTGGTTTTAAAAATGACATTGCTACACTTGTCAAAAGAAAATGAAACAAGCTAATGTGACCTTAACTTTTACTGCTTTTTAATGCAATTAGATTTGTAATGAATCACTTGAGTCTGTGGAATCCATATGCAGCGTGTTTATTTAGAAAAGAGGGGAGAAACGGTCAGAGAGAAATAATGCCGGTAACGGCTGAATGAAGAGAAGAGGAATCCAAGGAAAGACACCAGGCAATGATCGAGGCGGGCTCCAGACAATCGAAATCCAGTATCCAGGCAGAGAGTCGTGCAAGCGGCGAACAGGCGAGAGGCAGAGTCCAGGCAGAGAGTGGGTGCAGGTGGCGGCGAACAGGCGAGAGTCAGAGTCCAGGCAGAGGTTAGTAAGCAGGCTGCAGACAATCGTGAATGGAGGTCAGGATAGGGGAAAGCCGGGAAGGTAACAATCAAAGGTAAACGCTCGGTAATGATCACAGGAGTAATGCAAAACTTCGCAGTGTTTGAGGAGCGAGTCATGGCTAAATAGCCCAGTGAATGAGGAACAGCTGAGAGGGTGATTAGGACTGAAACGGAGTTTGTGGGAAATGTAGTGCGTGGAGGAATCAGTATTCGGGAGATGGTTCCCTCTGGATGCCTGAGAGAGAAGTTACCGACCCTGTGGTTGTGACAGAGCCCCCCTCCTGTAAACGACTCCTGATGCGATGGAGCTGACGACGTCGAGGGCGACCACGATTTCGAGGAGCAGGCTTGTGTGGGAAGGCTCGATGAAAGTCCGCCATAAGATTGGGATCTAGAATGTCCTTGGCCTCGACCTAGGAACGCTCCTCTGGACCATACTCCTCCCAGTCGACCAGGTACTGGAGGGTGCGGCCCTGACGTCTGGAATCAAGAAGTTCATTGACTCGAAAAGCCTCCTCGCCCTCTACCAGGATGGATTGCGGACTGGACTCCTGGGACCTCTCCTCTCTCTCTTCATCAGGGCCGGTAGCGGGTGACACATGGAACGTAGAAGCAAAACGATAGTGTCTGGGCAGGTCAAGACGGAATGATACAGGGGTGATCTGCCGTGTGATCTGGAAGGGACCCAAGTAGCGCGGGCTAAGCTTTCTGCAGGGGAGATGCAGATGGAGGTCCCGGGTGGATAACCAGACCCACTGGCCGGGTTGGTACGCTGGGCCAGGATGAAGGCGACGATCTGCTTGCTCTCTCTGTCGGCAAACGGCCTGCCGCAGGTGAACATGGGCCTGGTCCCAAGTCTCCTCGCTTCGTTGCATCCAGTCATTAAGGGCTGGGACGTTGGTGGGTTCCCCAGACCAAGGAAAGAGGGGCGGTTGGAATCCCAGAACACACTGGAAAGGGGTAAGGCCAGTAGCGTGCTTCCGTATGGAGTTCTGGGCATATTCGGCCCAAATCAGGAAGCGACTCCAGTCCTCCTGGTGTTGGTGGCAGTAGGAGCGCAGGAATCGAATGACCTCCTGATTCATGCGCTCAGCCTGGCCATTGGACTCAGGGTGGTGGCCCGATATGAGGCTGACGTTTACCTGCAGCGCTTTGAAGAAGGCCGCCCAGACTCGAGAGGTAAACTGCGGTCCCCTATCCGAGACGATATCCTCCGGAAGGCCGTAGAGTCGGAAATCCCAGGTGCACAGGAGCTCGGCGGTCTCCAGGGCAGTAGGTAGCTTGACCAGGGGTACCAGGCGGCAAGCATTGGAGAATCGATCTGTGACAGTGAGAATGGTGGTGTAGCCATTGGAGACGAGGAGGTCGGTGATGAAGTCGATCGCTATGTGGGACCAAGGGCGTTGGGGAATGAGTAGAGGTTGGAGTAGACCGGCAAGTAATTGACGTGGTGATTTCTGAGTACAGCATACTCGACAGCGTCGGATGTATGTAATGGTATCTTGTGTGAGGCTCAACCACCAGAAGCGGTTTCGCAGGAGTTGGACGGTGGCCGTGATTCCCGGGTGACCTGAGCTGGGGAGAGAATGGACCAGCTCCAGGACCTGCTTTTGGAGGATTTCAGGGACAAAGAGTTTACCTGGTGGGCAGGCTGATGGAACTTTAGACTGGGAGTTCAGTTGTTCCAGTTGAGGCCAGGGTTCAGAACGGTTCCGGGTTCCTCTGGTGCAGAGTCGTAGTCGTACTGTCTGGATAGGGCGTCAGCTTTGACATTCTGGGAGCCCGGACGGTAGGTTACGGAAAAATGGAACCGGTTGAAGAATAATGACCATTGAGCTTGTCTGGGGTTCAATCGTTTGAAAGTGCGTAAGTACTCAAGATTCTTGTGGTCAGTAAAGACGGTGAAGGAGTGTCGAGCTCCCTCTAGCCAATGCCGCCACTCCTCAAAGGCTGCCTTCATGGCGAGGAGCTCCCTGTCCCGTAGTTCTTAGTTCTTCTCCGCAGAGTTAAGCTTACGGGAGTAATATGCGCAGGGGCGCAACTTTGGCGGTGATCCTTGACGTTGTGAAAGGACGGCGCCTATTCCCGTATTGGAGCGTCCACTTCAACTACAAAGGGCCTCTGAGGATCTGAATAGGACAGGATGGGTGCTGTGGCGAAGCGTTGTTTGAGGTGATGAAAAGCTTGGGTTGCAGACCCGTTCCAAGGGAGACGGTTGATTCCCTTCTTGATCAGGGACGTAAGAGGGTTAGCCACTGAGCTGAAGTTCCTTATAAACCGACGGTAAAAGTTGGAGAAGCCAAGGAAGCGTTGAAGTTCCTTTAGGGTGGCAGGCTGTGGCCATTCAAGGACTGCACGGGCCTTACCCTCATCCATGGCGATGCCCTCTGGGCTGATTACATACCCCAGGAAGGCGGTGGATGTCTGGTGGAACTCACACTTGTCTATTTTGGCATATAGTTGGTGTTCGAGGAGCCTCTGAAGAACCACTCGGACGTGTTGCACATGATCGTTCAGGGTGTCCGAGTAAATTAAAATGTCATCAATATAGACTATAACTGTCCTATGGAGCATGTCTCTGAATACATCATTGATAAACGACTGGAAAATTGAAGGACTATTGGACAGGCCGAACGGCATAACCAGATATTCGTAGTGGCCGGTTGTTACGAACCCCTGTTTTAAAAACGCTCGTTGATACAGGGGTCAGCAACATAAAAGGAGACGCGAGGAAAAATGCAATACTAAAAATGTATTGTGAGACAAAGGAATGATTGCACAAACTCACATCTCTCATTCTCCACTCTCCACAGGTAACAATAACACTTAAACTATACTAAAATCAAAATATACTTAACAGAGACTAACAAATAGATCAAACCAAAAGACAAGAACATCACGTAGAACACAACGTCTCTTCAACGGCTGGCTGGGCATCATGACATGCACGGAATTCACCGTTGTGTGTCTCATCCTGTTTCACACTCCCTTATATACTCAGCAGGAGCCATTAGAGCAACGGGACACAGGTGCGCAAGGGCGGAGCCTAGCACTCAGAAGAAAGAAAAAGAGACTAATCAGAACACTAAACAAATACACCATAATACAAATACAACACTCATAAGGCTTAGGCCGTAACACCGGTGTTGGTGGAAAAGGCCGTCTTCCACTCGTCTCCCTCTCTGATGCGGATGAGATTATATGCGCTGCGCAAATCTAGTTTGGTGTAGTACTTAGCAGTTCGTAGCATCTCCAGAGCAGCTGGCACCAGCGGCAGAGGGTAACGGAACTTGACAGTTATGTTATTAAGGGCCCGATAGTCGATGCACGCCCGGAGACCCCCGTCTTTCTTCTTGACGATGAAAAAACCGGCTGACGCCGAAGAGGTGGATGGGCGGATAAAACCTTGCTCTAACTCCTCTTTTATGTATTTCTTCATAGCTTCTGATTCGGCCTGAGAGAGAGGGAATATTCGGCCCTTGGGAGGTTCGGAACCGGGCAGCAGATTAATGGCGCAGTCGCTGGAGCGATGAGGCGGTAGATTCGAGGCTTTTGATTTACTGAAGGCCTCCACTAGATCATGGTATTCACGGGGCAGAACTTCTAAAACGGAATTTGCGGGGGGTACAGCCACTGAACGAACAGCCAATGGAGAGATATGGTTGAGGCAATTGGCGTGACAGGTGTCGCTCCAGCGGAGGATCTCGTTGGTCCTCCACCCGATGTGTGGTTCATGCTTACATAGCCAAGGCAGACCGAGAATGACTGGAACGTGTGGGGAATTGAGAACGTAGAATTGAATGGTTTCATAGTGTAGTGCTCCAACTTGTAAAGGGAGCTCCTGGGTGACGTGAGTGACCTTGCCTGAGCCTAGCGGCCGCCGGTCGATGGCTTCGCCTGTGAGAGGAGAAACACAGCGCATCAGCTCAAAATGATGTAGCAAAGCAAAGTCTCTAGACATGAAGTTTCCAGCGGCCCCTGAGTCAATTAATGCACTCGTGGGGACTTGGCGGCCAGTGGCCCAGATTACAATGGATACGGACACACACGAATTCAAAGGGTCAGAAATCAGACTCACCAGTCTAGATGCAGCTGGTCGTGGTTGTGCAGGGCAAGTGAGGCGCAAGTGACCTGCCTCACCGCAGTACATACAGAGGTGGTGTGTGATCCGTCGCTCGCACTCCTCCTCAAAGAGATGGTAAGCATCGACCTGCATAGTCTCGGCGACATCAGCCGGCATGGTCTCTGAAGCGCGAGGTGACGGAATGTGCCGAGGGGTCGAAACAGAGCGATGGCTCGCTCGGCGTGATCGAATCAGATTATCAATCTGAATTGCAAGGTTGATGAATTCATCAAGGTCTCTGCCCTCATCCCGACAAGCCAGTTCAGATTGGAGCTCATGTGTTAAGCCTCTACGAAAGATTGCTTTTAGTGTGTCGTTAATAGGGGTGGGCGATATAGCCTCAAAATTATATCACGATATTTCAAGAATATTTGCGATAATGATATTTATGACGATATAGAAAATCTTTTTTTTTTTTTTTTATTACGTTTATTTCGCCTAAATATTTGCTCACTCATTGTGTTTTTACAATGGGGTAATTTTGTTGTGTTTACACAACACAAGGAAGCTTGATTTCAATCTTTGAATTAAATTGAAAAAAGTAGCAAAAATCTATACAAAAAAAAAAGATACAAATAAAGAAAAAAGTTTTTGGGTAGGTCTAACTCTAGTATTCAGAAATACTATAGAAAGTGAATAAAGTATTCACATGTAAAATAAGACAGTCTTTTAGTTCTGATTCCTGAGTCCTGACTAAACGAAATACATAGCCTATTAATTCTCATTCCTTACAATTAAAGCTATCTTTTGTTGTTTTGACGACAACATTAATGACAGACACATGTGGCTGCTGTCACTTTTACTGCTGGTGCACTGATCCATTACTGTTTTCATTATACTGTCTGTCACACTGTCACGTGCGTTTTATACATAACCGACTGTGTTCACGAGTATACTTACCAAGTCCAGAATTTTGACACAATTTTGCGTCCCCCCCCCATTAAAGCGATATAATCCGGGAAAAATTCCTTTTGTTACTCGCGAGTTGTTTGTGAGGCGGCTTTACTGTATGTATGCACGCAGAGAAACACTCTCCAGAGAGTCTCCCAGAGAGCACGTCAGTAGCCTACTGGATAGTTTAAAATCGCTTGAATGTTTAAACTGATAAGACTTAAGAAGACGTGAAAATTATAAACTTTAGTTGTGATGCACTGATGGCCCGATTGTGCAAGTGACAATTCAGTTATGTCCCGACTCCTAAACGCGAGAGTGTGGTATCGCCACCTGCAGCGCTTGACTCTTGCCTTGTGCAACACATTTTGAGAGACGAGAAAGAAAAGACGCGGCAGCACCGCTGAAGTGAACACTCAAGCTGTTTTTGAAATTGCGTCTCGGAGAAAGTTTGGTGTTTTTTTTTTTCATTTCTATGAAATGTTTTGTTTTCCACAAATTCTGTGTTGGGAATTTTCTAGTAATCAAATGAAGACATTAAAACATAATTTATCTTTTATATAAAATTTTTTTTGTCAAACAACATGCGGCACAACTGAGCTTTACACTGTTAAAATTACAGCATAGAAGAAAACTTTTGATTATTCCTTAAAAAATAAATAATTAGTTAGATAATAATTTATTATTATTAGTGTTAGAATTATTATTAAATTGAGATACCTAAATTCTACTGTACAACAGTAACATATTATCATATTGTCCAGATCACAGAGACCATCATGTTCTAGTGAGAATGGACAACACGTCAGTGGTCTCTGACATCAACCATCAGGGGGTCTGAGGTCGCGCACCCTATGCAAACTGCCGCACCAGAACCTCTTGTGGTCACAGGGAAAATAGCCATCTCTCAGGGCACTGTACATCCCTCAGCACCTGAATTTGGAAGCAGACATACTGTCGAGGCAGGGGCAGAGACCCGGGGAATGGAGAGTCCACCCTGAGACGGTGGAGTTAATTTGGAGGAAGTTCGGACGAGCGGACATGGATCTGTTTGTGTCTCGAGAGATGACTCACTCTCTGTTATGTTTCTCTCTCACACATCCAGCTCATCTGGGACTGGATGCCATGGTACAGACGTGGCCGAGGCTGCGTCTGTATGCTTTTCCCCCGATAGCTCTGCTCCCGGGAGCTCTGAAAGAGTACGCCAGGACAGGTTTAATTTTCTTTTGGTAGCCCCTTTCTGTTCGGCCCGAGTATGGTTTTCAGACCTGTTAGCTCTTTTAAATGGTCTTCCTTGGGAGAGTATTTCGCAATACTTTCTGTAAAGCTGCTTTGAAATGATGTGTATTGTAAAAAAAGCGCTGTACAAATAAACGTGAATTAAATTGAATTTCATATTTCACCCCCTGCCGGAGATGTGGAAACTTTGGGTCTGGCCTCTGAGGGGATCAGTTCCTGAATGCAGATCTCTCCGCCAAGGTGGTAGAGACCATACGCAGTTCTAGAGCTCCCTCCACGAGGAAACTTTATATTTTAAAGTGGAGTATTCACTTTATGGTGCAGAGGGCATAGTTTGGATCCAATTAACTTCCCAGTGGCTTCAGTGCTGGATTTTCTGCAAGACCGCTTTTCTGACAGTCTTTCCCCGTCCACACTATGTGGCGGACATTGCGGCCTTCCATGCACCTGTGGGTGGTGGATCTTTGGGGAAGCACAGTTTGGTGTCTCGTTTCCTTCGTGGTACATCGAGGATGAGGCCTCCGGCTAAGTCCCGTCCACATTGGAAGGGTTGTCCTTGGCACCCTTCGAGCCCTTGGACTTGGCAATGATTAAGTTCATTGCTCTAAAGATGGCGTTTCCTTTAGCAATTACATCACTTAAGAGAGTCGGAGATCTGCAGGCCCTTTCGGTTGCCTCCTCCTGCACTGAGTTTGCCCCGGGTAGGGTGAAAGTCATTCTCCACCTGGGAGGCTGGGATATGTACCTAAAGTACCCACCAATGTAGCCCCTGTCAACAGTCCTTCAGGCCTTCTATTCTCCTCCCCATGTGTAGACGGAACAGATGAAGCTACTTTAACTTTGCCCTGTCAGAGCTCTTGAGGTCCAAATAAGCAAGACTTCTCAGTGGAGGAAAACTGACCAGCTGCTGGTTTGCATTATTTTCAGGGGCATCCTTGCAGGAAGTTTGTGATGCAGCGGGGTTGTCAGGACAGCTTCACACCAGGACAGGCATGTGTTCGCATAGCGAAGTGGGTATTTAGTTCCCTGAGGCGTCAGCTGGGACGCAGCACGAGTTATCAAGTTACGTTAAGTTAAGTTATAAGTTATCAGAGTAATGTCTCAGGTTACGGATGTAACCATGGTTCCCTGAGAGGGGAACGAGACTCTGCGTCCTCTTGCCATACTTCCTGCATGCCTGGGAGCAGTGATTCAGCCTATCAAAAGCTGATGCTGATGCTGATGTCTTTCCTTTATAGCTTCCGCCTTACACCGGCACACGTCACGAGGTGACACAGCATCAATCAAGACTGGACTAGTTGCAGGCTTCAGGTTTCAGACGCAGTCACGCTGAAGGTGCTCCCCAAAGCGTTCCCTTTCGTAGTCACTACGAGTTACGTCGTGACGA